ATGGACGGGCGGAGTTGGAATTGGGAGTTAAGGGGATGGTGTTAGGTAGATTTAATGGGCTGGATTTGGTAATGCCAGACTTCAATTTCTTCAATTATCCTCAATCAGATGTCACTCGTATTTCGAGGTCTGCAGGCAATGCAAATGATGCTGTATGGTTGCTAATTTGCTATGCGTAGGTCCTGCTCCTGTAATTAATAACTGCTGATCTCCTCGAATGCTAATCTGATTGTAGAATACAATTTTCGCGGGTGTTTTACACTCAAACAGCTAAGCCATCTGCAAATACTCTCATCGTAATTCATGAAATGCAGGCAACTTCAAGTGACGTCCTGTCCAGTTCAATTAGACCTGCTCTGCATGGCCTGTCTCTTCAATCTCCGTATTTACCACTGCTTCCTTCTCTCCAGTCATGTCCTTCGCAACATCCTTCTCTGCAGTGTGCTTCTCCACATCCTCCTTCTCAGCAGCCTCTTCCGTGGCAGCTTTGTCCTTCTCAAGACGCTCGACCTCCTTATCACTATCGAATTCTCCCGCTGCCTTTCTCGCCTCTTTCTTCTCCATTCTCAATGCCTGCATCTCCTCTACGTGGTTCTTGCGTCTCTTCTCCCGTTCCTCACGAATAACCTCAACGAGTCTTTGGCGTCTCTCCTTGAGCTCCACATCAGTTGGCTTCCTGGTTGAGTTTGCCTCGTCTGCTTGTACATTGGCGGCGGCTCCAGGCTCTTCGAGTTTTTGATGCTCCTTTGGGTCCGTTGTATCGCTTTGGCTACCGGGAACGTCTTCATCGGCTTCTGTACAATCAACTGGTCCATTAAGGTACTCAATCCATGTGATTGGAATGCCATCGATCTGAGGTATCTTGACAATGGATGCCAAAACTTCGCTTAGAAGGCGTGGCTTACTCTCTTTCTCAGAACTGTACGCAGGTTTCGCAGGCTCAGGGCCACAGGCGCATTGGTCCTTCGCATGCGTCGCATGCCCCATGAGATAATGGCTATACGAGGTTTTCCACTGGCTATAAGCATCCTCATATTATGCGTAGTCGCTAATGTCGAACGAACAACCTTTATTGTCGAACCAGTCTACGATTGCCATGTGGACCGATGTATAGTGCACCTGAACTCCATAAAAGCTGCGGACAATCGTATGGCCTCCTTCGTACTTGAGCTGATATTTGGGGAGAAGGGTGGAACAGTCTATCATTTGCTCGACGTAAGATACGTGGTAGAAGCAGTCAGGCTCTTCAATCGTGTCGATTAGTATGTAATCTTCCAAGTGCAATGCATTAAGCAGTAGTGGAGAAATGACTTACGTTTCCAGTAATTTCTTTCCCCAGTTCGCTGGCCAGTGCTATCCTTCAAATTGAACCGAAAGCATGATTCAATATTTTTGCTTCCTTCAAGCTCCGCAAGAATGCAGAATCAAGCTTTGCATTGGCTTCTCGTGGACTTGGGGACCTCCAGGACGAGAACCGACGCACCAGATTGCAACTGCTTCTCAATTTCTGTCCGATCCTCAACAACAGGGTCATAATGTTTCATCCTCTCCTCAATTTCTGCCTTCATGATCTGCCACTCCTCGTGCCATTTCTTCCGCTGCTCCTCGGTTGGCGCCTCCCACTCGATCTTGCGTTTACGGCTCGGTCCCTTGGCGGGCTGCTGTTTTTTGTTCGACATCTTTGTTGGTACAATCAACAGAGAATGGAGACTTTGTCCGAGATGATGATGGAAAGATTGCGGTGTTGTTGATGAATGAGATGGCAGTACCTTGTGGTGATGATCTTTGTTGATGGAAGAAGGTTGGAGTAGAAGGAGTTCAGGTTGTTGGGAAGGGGGGCTTAAGCGAGTTACTCCTCCCCTTTGGAAGATTCACGTTCCTTCACCTTCGTACGCAAGTATCGGTGCATCCACAAGAGCAACAGTCTGTTCGCCCTGAATTGACATTGCGCTGATGTGCTGGTCGTGGACTTGGCATTTGCGCAAAAACCGGATGTGGAGGAGAGTCTAGTGGGCAAAGCTGTCCACCGAATAAGGGTGACTTGTGCGCGCAATTTTCCGAGTGGACTGAGGGTAGGCGCTCCCCAGAAACGAAATATATCCAGCTCAGTTACGAAGAGGAGAAATTTCAGGAAGTCCAAAAGGTGTCCAATTGCGAATGTTGGTTAGGACAGTGGGAGTCTGCCTCGCTGCTCGTTCAGCTTCTTGCAACGGTGTAAACAGCATATTGTACACCGTGCTCCCAGCCCTCGCCAGCATCTCTGAGATGGAGTTTTGCTGATTCGGGAAACCAGCCCAACCTGGCGGCTCTACATCATTCACTGGGTGTTCGTTGGTGTCCAAGTGCTGCGGCTGGCGCCGAGCCACATCAGTGGAGGGTCTTTCTCCCTCTGACGGACTGGAGTCTGTAGCCAGCAGTTGATCCGGCACTGTCTGGTCTGTGAGCTCTGTGGTAATTTTTCGCCGCTCACTGCGCTCTTCCTCCTCAATTGAGTCCGATGTCTTTGCTTTAGACTTGACGCTGTGGAAGAAAGCAATACCGCCACTAATAGCTCCAACAGCCGCTACAACAAGACCGCCCAAAGCTATCAAGTTAGTAGGGGCTGTGATCGGCAAAATAACTGGATTAGAAGTGGTGGCAGTGGGGGTTGTCATCGTTGCATGGACACTGGAGACAACATTGATCGTGTTGACGCTGATGGAGCTGAGCGCAATTGGGGACTGCATCGAGAGTGCGATCCTGACAGAGACTGGAAGTAACGATACGAGCAGCAACGCCATTGTTGGGATTGGTTGTAAGAAGATTCGTGTTATTGGGAATTTTGGGCAGGAAGCGTTGGTCGACTGCGAGATACCAGCAGGTACTGTGTCACAGAAAATTAGTTGGAAGTAAGTCGGCGATTAGTTTCAAACAAGAAAGTGCTAAATGACGAACAAAAGAATGAGAGGGGGGAAGGAAGATTTAAGTTCTCAAAACGGTGACAGCTTAGACGGGGCAGACAGTTGCGACCTAAGAGCACACCGCGATCAAGAATATTAGGTCCAAGCTGCGGTGGGAGGAAAGACCTCTTCGGAAATTTTTAACAATTATTGGACTGCCTTGAGGACGAAAGCGGAGGGCCCAACTGCTCTCGTGTCTCCCTGGCTTCCATGCTCCGAAACTTCCCAAAAGCGCGTGAACCATGTCGAGCCATGTCGAGCCATGTCGAGCCATGTCGAGCCATGTCGAGCGTATGCCCCTTTCCACGCATAGTGCTACCCGAGGACGGTTGGGCTGCAGTTTAGACGTTTAATTTCCAGCTGTGCAGGATTCGGGGCCGGGAACTGAGGCGTCCTGGCAGCATAGAGCACAGGAGCATTTGGGATATGATGGTATTGGAAGTGAAATGCGGCGTAGAGGTACAACACTCGGGGTGTTCTGTAAGACGCCCGGCTGCTCTGGTGCAAATCAAGTCTCTCTATCATGGATCGAAGAATTGCTGCGGCAAGGCTCTGTTGGGGCTGAAACTTCGAGCATCAATTTCCCCGGTTTGTGACATCTAAGCTTTTTGCAGTCTCCTTTTCTGGAACGTTTCCACTACTCAATTGTTCTTCAGAGATGAGCGAAACTATCTTGAGGTGCATGCAGGCCGCGGTCACATTTCACCATCCGGGTCGGAAATCTCGACTTGGGAGAAGGTCAACTGTGGGTTTGGTGAGACTGTTGCAAGTCATTATGCAGCAGACCATGTGTCGTTCCCTTCTTGTGTGCTTCATCAACTCATGCCTCGTAACACTAGACCAGTCACATGATATCATTACTCTTGCCTTCACTTGAGATGTAGTGTAGAGGGACTGAGAGACATTTCATATCAGGTGGAAGGCATCACGAAACACAGTTGAACAGGAGGGGGTCAGAGCTTTTGTCAACAGAGATCATCTCTCCAGTGAATGATGAAGTCCAGCGACTCGTCGCTTCTCTTTTTGCCGTCAATCTCTTTTTCGCTTAAATATTATAGCAAGCAATGTGTTTGAGATCTTCGAGTCGATCTCAGAAAGTCATGCAAAATTACAATACAGGTTTCCGCCTCAATATCAGCAACTCCTGATATCAATTGAAATCCTGCCTATCTCCTACCAACCCTGCTTGACAAAATAAGAAACTGTAAGTTCCAGGACGAAAACTTATCTGCACAAAGGACATAGCCTCCTATATAACTGGAAGTATCAAGCAACAACAAGAGCTCCTTCTTGGTTAGGGTTGACAGGTCAACGCTGGCCAATCTTTTCACCTGCCTTTCAGGGTTGCAACAGGCAGCCTTACTATACAGACTCGACTCACCTCAAATCCTTCGCTCTTTGTCGTGAACATGAATTCTCCTGTCGTCAAGTAAAAGGAGTACTGGTCAAGTGTTAGCCCCTATTCAACCCCTCTCGGCTAACCCTCGCTTGTGGGGACTTGTCCTCACCTCCTTTGCACAAATTCTCACTACTGAAATACTGAAACCAAAGGCTAGGCGATTCCACTTTCTCCTCATTTTCCTCTGATTGATGTGGTCTCGTTAGTTTCTCGATATCTCTTACTTTTCCTCTGAGTATTTGGGCCACCGGCCTGAGCCCCGTCCGTATTTCTGAGCCTTTTTTTAGCGTCTGTGGCGAAAGATTTGGGTGTGGATTATCCCCCTTCAACAATCTCTTCCTTACCACCTCTGGTTTGAGCGATTCCAGTACTTTAGCACTGACTGAAAATGCATCTTTATTGTTGAACGTTTCAAGGAGCTGGCTGGCTATCATGATGCAAACAAAAATCATATGGATGAGCTTACGGATAGAAAAGGTTAGCAGGGGTCGGTCCGAAAGTGGGGTTCTCGGTACCCAATAATACGAGGGTGCGAAAAAGCCACAAAACCTCGCCTAAAAAGCTTTGCTCAAAAAACATAATCTTCAACCCAAAAACAATGAGAATATGCTTGGGAAGAGATATAAAGCTAAAAAAGACACAAAAAATAAAAAGTATAATATTGCGTTCGCCGGGAATCGAACCCGGGGCCCATCGAAACTGCTTGTTTTCACAAGTTGGCAACGATGGATTTTACCACTAAACCACAAACGCTATAAACCACAACCTCTTTTCGCTGTTGGTTGCAGACAAAGGGCTTATTATATGTAATCAATTCATGTGCGTTTCCTGCAGCCTAAAAGTGGGGACGGCTTAGCAAGTGCATGTGCAGGTGAGCTTTGTGTATAAAATCACGTGACTATATCGCCTACTGATCATCCTTCGAAATAATCCTCTCGCAATCATCCTGAGCTCTATCAGATGTGCCACAAACAACCGAAGTTAAGTAGCGTGTGGCAAAGGCTGCAATCGAATAAATCGTTAGCAAATCATCCTCATCCTGGCCTACATGCGACGCACATCGGCAGCCGCACTGTCTTTGTGATGCCTTGACTTCTATCTTGCCTCCATCTTTCATCATGTCACCGATTCTGGAGGATTGCCCTAATGAAGTTATTGAGAGTATCGTCGTACTGTTGGAGCTGGGCGATATTTTTAACTTACGACAAACCAGCCGAGCCCTGGCCACAAAATCCACACAAGCGCATTTCAAGTCTTTCTTTCTTTCGAAGCACGTGGACATCACGGAAAATGCACTTCGGGCATTCGTTGAGGTCACGAAACCTGGTTTACTTGGTTCTCTCATCCAGGACTTGGTCTTGGTCGGCGTTGTGAACAATACGCAGAAGCTTCATTACGATTTACATGAGGAATACGATTCAGAGGAGGAGTCAGATGAAGCTGCAGTTCGCCGCTCAGAGATGTGGACCCACGCTCAACGGAATCTCGAAATTCTTGAGCAACGACAGACAGATTACGAGCAGTTACATGAATCTGGAACAGATGTGAGTCTGCTCAGTGAAGCATTTCGTAATATCTTGGCAAATGGGAAGAACGGAAAGCTGCTCTCTCTGTCCTTAGAAGTGGTTGTGTACCGCGAGGATGCCGAACAAAGACTCCCTCCAGTTGCTGGGGGTGGATGGAGACTTATCTGGAAATCTACTGTGGATACATTTCATACAGCATTTCGCTCGTTAGCTGCAAGCAGTCTACCGATCGAGAAGCTCAACATATTCAACGACCGTCGATTACAGCGCTGCAGCTTGGCTTGGAATGAGTTTGGCAGCATCGATATCACGGACGAAGGGCTCATCACCTCTCTCGCATCTTTGAAGTCACTGTCAGTCAGCTTTTCAGACAGAATCATCTACATTTCAAATCTTGACGCAGAACGATCATATGATCCAGCGGAATACATAGACGAAGATGCATCCGAGGAAAGCAGAGACTTTCTCGATATGGAAGTAGAGGCTGCAGACGAGATTAATTTCATCGGCCTGGCAAAACTTCTGCGTATCAGCCACCAGCTAGAAGTCCTTGAAGTGCATCAGTATTGCCTCAGAAGTGGTTGGAGGGGTGGTGTGGACCTGCATCTTGATTGGTTTTTGCAGCGCGCTGCTGAATTGGAGACGCTCCCGAATTTGAAGAGGCTAGAGCTTCGCGGACTCCTTGTTAGAGAACAAGACCTGCTTACATTCATTCTGCGCACGGGAGTTAAAAACTTGACCATGTATGATGTATTCATGTTCTCTGGCACATTCAGATCAGTCTTCGATTACTGTGCTAGCGACGCAGGAGACATGGAGCAATTGTACTTCAACAGACTAGTCGAGGGAGAGCTGCACAAGTCCGTCTTTTTCGACGGGCAAGGTTCCCCTCAGTATCCGCCCGATGGCCCAGGACCTAGTACTGATTCACCGGACAGGAAAGGGCTTGAAGTCAAGCAGCAGATCATCTATCGCGCGACGACAGGTGGAGCACATCTAGTCTCATCTCCTACAACGGCAGAGTGGATGCGAGAAAGATGGAGAGAGTATGGACCGCCTATCAGAGGCATCGCTTAGTCTCTATCAAGGGTTCCAATCTGCTGTCGATGATTTACTACGAGCTCTCAAGGAGTCTGCTCAGCCATATTCAGAAGCGGTTTGCCGGCCTCACGTACTTCGCTCATCCGTCCCTCGCGAGGTCCACGATTATGATGATTCAAGTACGACATGACAAGGTTTTTATGTCGATATTAATGCATTGAACAAGTCAGGGGTACAAATAAAGCACCTCCGTGACGATCTCTTCGACCAGATGGACTCACCTTGTGGATCGCTAACGCAAGTGACCCAAATGGTAGAAGGTCCACAAGGCCTCGGCCATCAATTCAAGAGATTACCAGAAAGGCATATTATTCTTGGAAATGCATGATGGGGAGCATCCAAGAATATGGGCGTCTAATGCCGTGCTGCTACGGTGGAATCACACACTGTCTCTGCCTTCGTTCTCTGCTTCGAAGAGCTCTCACGGCAATCAGGAAGCCACGCTTTGCTGGCTTGGATGGTCTTTCTGGGTCTCACATGAACCTTATCAACGCTCCCCGCATATTTCAGATCAGAGAAATCCGTGATGTTTTGTTGAGGGATGGGGCCAATGAGCCAGTTTGAGTTCTTCCAAGTAACAGAGGATTGGGCGGTCGATGAACTAGAAGACTTATATGAAATGAGTTGTAGCATTTGTTCACCTGGGCTACTAGGATTCCGGACCTTGATATGCTAAGCATGGAGAGTCGGACGAATAACAGAGCCCCTGAATTCTCTCGCTTGCTCGTACTCGTATTCTTATTCGTAAAGCTTTCAGCATGACGTCGCGAAAGACTGTCGTGTATAGCCTGAACAACCTCAAAGTCCCACAACTCATCAAACAATGATTCGATAAACAATGGCTGGCAGACCAAATATGGCTGCTCTCAGCCTATACATCGCAACTTTCAACTGCGGTCTCGAAGCAATCGACACCGAAGCCTTCGCATCCCAACTCTTCACCGGCCTGAACTCCTTTAACCTGCCCGACGTCCTCGTTCTCTCTCTGCAAGAAATCGCACCTCTTCCTCTCGCTCTTATCGGAGGATCGTTCCTCGTCCCCTACTTTGAGAAATTCTACGATGCTGTACAGAAGGCTTCCCGAAAGTATGCAAGTGCTGAGGAGAATGGGCCAGTATACTCTCCGATAGCAGCCCGCAACTTGGGCATGACGGGCATCATGATATTCGCCAAGGATCCATCTTGCATAAAAGATATAGAGACCGGAGGAGTTGGTGTGGGGCTTTGGGAGATGGGGAATAAAGGCGCCGTGGGTGTACGCTTCACATTTCAGCAAGGCCCTGCCTCGACCGAGTTGACGTTTGTTGCTGCGCATCTCGCTGCGATGGAGGGCGAGTTGCAGCGCAGAAATGAGGACTGGAAGAATATAGTCCGCGGTCTAGTCTTCTCTTCCACTACATCCAAACGCAAAACAGAAGATACATCTCTTTCTGGAGAAGAGCGATCGCTGCTCTCCATCTCCCCGCACGACGCCTCAATCTACAAGCCAACATCCCACCTGTTTATAGCTGGAGATCTCAACTACCGCACCTCGATTCTCTCCCCTTCGCCCACTGACCATATCGACATCTTTCCGCAACCGCACCACGAGCCCGACTCGTCCAACCATTTCTCCTCCCTCTTCGAATCCGACCAGCTAAACCAAGAACGCTTGGCTGGACGTACCCTCCATGGCCTCACCGAAGCCGAAATCACTTTCCCACCAACTTACAAATACAAGTCCGAAGAACCGTTCCTGACTCCGGATGATGAATTGAAGAAATGGCCGTGGGCTAAACATCGCTGGCCAAGTTGGTGTGACCGGATTCTCTACCTGCCCATGCCAGCCTGGGTTACACGGTCTCAACCTTCGCTTTCAGTCGTTACACATAAATACACCGCGCTCCCATTATTCCCGACCTCAGATCATAGAGCTGTCACGCTCGAATTGTCTGTTCCGATAGTGCCGATTCCACCTCCTGTGGAAGAGCATGGAGATGATCCAAGGATTAAGCCACCGTTTGAGATCAACATCGACTGGAAACGAAAGAGGGAGAGGGCGAGACAGCTGGAACTAGTGGTTGGATTTGCATTGTACTTTACAACTACGAAGGAGGGCGGTGCAGTGGCTGCCGCTGTCTTGGTTGGGGCCGTTGGGGCTTACTTTGCTATCAGAGCCATGGTAGAGATGTGAACTGGTCACAGGCTCGCTTTAGAGAAATCCATCCTACCTTCTACGAGGCTGTTGTTGCCCAGTAACGCGTGATCCGACCTAAGAATGAACCAGAGGCTTCCACCCTTCTTTCCTACTGTTGCTTAGCTCGCATTGGCCTACACTGCAGGATCGAATATCATGGGCAAGCAGGTAAAGAATCGGCATATAGACCTCACCGGATCACCCTATCCAGTGTTCGGGTCGGAGGCTGATACCCCTGCTCCCCTACAGGGATAATTGACACAGCCTGCCGTTTACCAAACATTACCAACATTGCTGCCTGCTTCCGATTAGAACCTTTCGTCATTCCCCAACCTTCCCGCGCTTCCTTTAAGTCTTGACTTTCAGCAACGTTCCCTAAAACTTCGGATACCTGATGAACATCAGGCAACATGTCGGAGTCTAGCAAAGAGCAAGATATACCAGCAAAAAATACCCGGCTGGCCACGGCTGAGACCCAGAAACGAAAGTATGATGATGAGCGTGGGGAAGTATTGAATAGCAGGCGCTCGAGAGCACGGAGAAGAAGGTTTCAGGGGCTTACACGGGAGAAGATTCTGGCAGAAATCACACGATTGATGGACAGCACTCAAGATGATCAAGACCCGGATCTGGTAGTTTTGGACCGTGAAGAAATCGAACGACAGCTACGGTCAGGGGCTGCCGTTCTTGTCCTGGAAGACACAGAAACTTGGCAAAGTCATTGTCGAGCTAGATTTTGTCTCCCCAGAGAGTTGCGAGGAAGGCCAAATATCACGTCAAAGTATCGCCTCAACCTTAAGGACGTCACAGGTAGAAGGACATACTACAAACGTGAGTTACAAGTTTCCCTTCGGATATTTGAAATCAAAACTAATAGCATTACAGCGCCCAATTACTTCTATCATGTCTCTTGTGTAGAACAGATACTAGACCTTCGTGCCCTTCTTGCG